GTGTGTGGTGGGTGTGTTGGAAAGTTCAGATTTTTTATTTATCCTTAGAATTCAAAACTTTTACTAAAATACAACTGGGAGTGGTGGGTGTGTTTTCTCTTCATCCTTTTGGGAATCAAGTGAGCACTCTCGAGCAGATCAGAGATCAGAGAAAATTCCCTCTGTTAACTGCTTCATTAATACCTCCCCACCCATCTCTGTTCTACTTTGTGCTTTGAAACATGCATGTTAGGTCATCTGCATCTGTCCTCTGAGCCTATCTTTTCCTTTATGATGTCCATCTCATGGTAGTGTTGCTCAAGCTGTGAGATATTTCTTCCACATTATATTTTGGGTCACTGATGTGAATCTCTGTTTATATAGTGAATTTTTAAATTCAAGAAATTAGTCCTTTGTTTCAAATTCCAGAAAGCCTTGTCCAGTTCTCTACTAAGATATCTTTGAAAGCTCTTACGACTTATATGTTAGAGTTCTCATCAGGCACTTCCAACAGCTCTACTTCAGCTGTCAGCTACCTGTACCAGGTATCCACCCGGGTCTGTCTTCCTCTCGTTGCTCTGTGCCAGTTCTTTTTTTCACTGTGTGTTCATGGTTTTCTGTTCAGTAGTCACATCAAGTTGTTGGGTTTTGGTGGCAGGCACAGCAGTTTCTGCTCTTTGAGGTCAACATTGGGCAAACGGGCAAATTTCAGCTGTCAAAGCACAAGGAGGGTCTTTCTCTCTGCCTCTGGGTCTCCCCAACTGTAAGAAAACCTTCCCCAAACCAAACTCAAAAACCTGGTCCAGCTCAGAGTGCAGCTTTCCTCCACCCCCACGCACCCTCCCCACCCCCGTCCCCCAATCCTCTAGGACTCTATAGAGTATGTGCCTTAGCCTTTCTGCAAAGGGATTCACACATCTCTTCTCAGCATCCTGGTCCTTCCACTAGGCTATTCCACCCCTTGCACCCAGTGCAAAGTTAAACACCATCCACCCCAGGATGAGTACTCAAAGATCCCAGGCAGCCAGTTTTCTCAAACACACCCTCCAGGTACTGCCAGCTTGCCCACCAATGATCATTAGGGTGGGATATTCAAGCTTCCATGCTTCCTCCTATCCCATTCTTCTGAATCTCGCAAGTTTAGATCATTTGAGTGGACGCCCTTTTCAATTAAGAGCAAGATTGGATCTAATACATCAACTTAAAAAAAACTATTTATTTTCAGAGAACAATTTGACATGTATCCAAAAATATATGGTCTTTTTTCCCCCTTTGATCTATTATTCCATTACTAAATACCTAGCCTCAGGAAATAATTTTTAATCAAAAAAATGTTATATAGAGACTTCCATTATTTATAAAGTAAAAAACTACAAACAACCTAACTGTCTATCCGTGAGAGAATGGCTAAGTGAATTAGGGACCCCCACTGATGAAACAGGTGTTAGTGGCTTGGAAAATCATACAATAACATAGAAAAATGCTTAAAGTCATCTGTGAAGTGGATAATGGGCACACATGTCATATGTATTAGATGAATATAACTGGATATATCATATGCAAAAAATTATCAGGCAAAGGAAATATACCAAAATGCTAACAGTGGTTATGTACAGGTTGTTTATGGGGATTTTTTTTCAAATCCCCCCCTTCCTTTCTGTTCCTGCTTCTCAAATGAAATATAGTAGGTAATAGAATGGTGTTAAAAATACTCTTTGTAAACCATAAAATATGCACAGCTAACTGAGTAAAGGACTGAGAATTGATAAAGTAATTGTGACATGTAAATGGCTTCTTCAGGAAGAGTTTAAAGTGCTTATTGACAGTTTTCTGGGACTTTAAACTCTATCTCAGCAAATGTTTTATGAGTAAACTCCATCTCAGCCCTCACTGGATCAATCATTTACTCAGATAAATCTCCTGTGAAGCTGTTTAACACAGTCTCTCCCTGGCATCCCAGAGGATTCGACTGATAAATAAAACAAGGTTTGACCTTGGGCAACGAGAAAGCCCAGGTCTATGGAATACAAGCCAGCTCAGTTTCCCAGAGAGTTCTCATCACAATGCAGGGCAGAAACCCCAAACAGCACCTGTGGCTTAGACCCAGGTGACAGATGTGGAATTAAGTAAAAGCTTGAAAACCAGCAGCTGAAATGAGATTTGCACATATGAAATTTGCACATGCTCAGACTGCGTTTCCGCCAAAACTCCTTCACAGAGCAGATCTGCGAGAGGCAACGGTTCACTTGGAACCCCACGCTACGCCCCCACTTCTCTGCCACACTCCAGGGGCATCCCCAGCAGCACCCAGTGCATGAAGCTTCCCCCATCCAGGAAGTCAAATCTGGATAAACACATTTTCTTTTAAATATCGTCATTTTCTCTGCTGCCAGTGATACCTAATTATTTAAATTATGTATAATGTTTCCGACAGCTTTGCACAGCAGTGGCTAGACAAATGCTTTCCCACAACCATCTGACACCACTTTTATCACTTCATTTTTCTGTGAAATGTCTGCAAGTGGGCTTTATGTACCCAGAAAAGAAATGCTGGGTTCCTCTCCCCAGGCAACAGCATCCCAGATCCTTCATGGGCTGGGGAGGGAAGCTTGACTATGCCAAGGGTCTCCAAAATGACCGTTTCCAGGCTTCTGCTGAAGGGCCAAGGTTTTACAATTTTACCATCCTGCTAAATGAACTGACCCTACTAATTCCATATCTGGGAATTGAACCTAAGGAACTGTTTCTGAATTAAAGGAAGAAAAGATTAACAACATGAAGATGTTCATGAGAGCTTTATTTGTAAGCACATTCCATTGAAATGCCCAGCTTAGAGGAATGCTTAATCTATGGTTGATCAGCTCGATGGAAAAATCTGTCAGTCAGTCAATGCCAGTGGAGATTAGGTAATCATATGAAAAGTGCTTACATTTTGCTTTAAAGCGGTGGTTCTCAACCAAGGACAATTTTGCCACCCAGGGGACATTTGACAATTTCTAGAGATAGTTTTGGCTGTTATACAAGGGGGAAGGGTGCTACTGGCATCTCGTAGGTCTAGGGCAGGGACCCTGCCAAACACCCTGCAGTGCACTGGACAGCCTCCATCACAAAGGATGATTTGGTCCCAAATGTCAAGGGTGTCAACGTTTAAAAAAAAAAAAAACCAAAAAAAAAAAACCTTTAAAGAAAAACGTATACATGTATACATGAATTTGTATTATTATCATTATTACACTTACATAAAGAATTCATTGGCCTAGGAAATGAAGGAAACAAACAGAACACAGGCTAGCTTTATCTACTTGTCTCTTCCTCTAAATTATAAGATGATACTTTCCACATAATCTGGGTGGGTGGGTGAGTGTGTGTGTGTGGTTTTTTTAACCATTTATACAAAATAATATACTGTGGCTTAAGTCTTTTAATGGGCTTCTTAAAGACCTCAGATAGTCTTATTAATGATAAATTGACAAATACATAATTCATTCTAAAAGAGGAGAAATTTAAGACTTGGGCATTTTCAGCAGGACCTGTTGGCTGACTCAGTTGCCTGGCAAAAGGAGGAATTTATGTCAACTTTCATGACCAAGCATTTCTATCATTGTATGAATCCCGAAAGGTGATTTTTTTTTATTGATAATTTAAGGTTCAAGTGAAAACTATAATTTTCACATAAACACTACATTTAGACAGTCTAAAGCACCAACACTTAAAAATTTGTTTCAATATGTAGAACTTTCCATTTTCCATCCCCTTATCCTTTTAAGACAGAATTTCATCATCATGAACTTATTTTTCACCAACAAAAAGTGATGCATTTGGCTGTCATTGAGGTTCTAGGGCCCCCAACTATTTTCCTTTTAAGTCTCTGCTTCCTGTTTTTACAGCTTTCTGTCTTACTTTTGCATCCATCTCAATGCTTCTAAAATGCTTTGGAGTGTAAAACTACCAAGGTTGCAAAAACCGAATGTAAGGGAAATAGCTCTGCAGAAAAGCCTAATCTCTCCTCTGAGTCAAGTTCATGAATTTTTACTGCATGGACGATGGCTGTTAAAAGGCATCCCCACCCCTGTTATCCTCCTCCACCATTTGGTAGCTCTCAGCTCTATTCTGGAAATTCCCTAATAAGCAACTTCCAAATCACTGTTTAGTTCTTACAGCCCAAAGAACAATACAGGCCGCGACTTTTCTATCCAGAGAACCACCAGATTGAGAAAACAAGATGTGCATCCAGGAGCACTGCCCAAGCCCACATCAGCCTGCTGGGGTCCAGAACCATGGTTTTTCTAGATTATTCCAAGAGAACTGGAGTGACCATTAAAAACCCCCTAGCCCATGCTGGGTTTGGTGGGATGGGGATGGGAAGATCTTGGGAGATTTTACTGGCCACATAAGGCCTTGCAAAAACACAGGCCAAGTGGGTTTCATCCAATGTGAGAGGCCATCAAGGAGATTCTGAAGCTCTAGAATCACAATAAGTATCCACGTCTTCTCCCACCATCAAGCCCAAGACCACACAGCTTGGCGTTGTGTCCTCAGCAACCTTACCTTATCCTCTTCCATAGTTCAAGGAGGCCAAGCCCTTTCTGCCAAGTCTACCCTAACTGGTTAATTGAAGGATGGACTAAATATCTTCAAGGACTTGGCAAACCAAAAGAACCAGGAAGGAAGGCTCCTCAAGTAGCAGAGACAACCACAAAAGGAGTGTCACTCATTATGGAAAGTTGTGATCCATGAATTTCTTTCCCAGGAACAGGCCATGACAAAGCCTTGTTGGATGCTCTCAGGGCTTTTAAGAGATTATCAAAGACCAATAGGCAGAGAAAGGCACCCAGGAAGGATGAACTTATTTAAAAGAGCATTGTCTTGCCTAGCTTTTGCTAAAATGCAACTGGGAGGAACTTCTTTGCAAGTACTTGGCCTACCCATAGAATCATACCGCATTCTCCAAGAAGGATGGATGCTGGGAGGAACACCCTAGGACCTCTGGAGAAATCTGTAGCTGAAAGGAATTCTTCTGTAATGATGTGGCACGTCTGGCTAGATAATTCTCGATGGGTGTAAGTCCATCAGTCAACTATACTCATGGGCCACTTCCACCCCCACCAGCTGATAAATCTCAGGGAACCCCAACACGTTTCTCCACTCACCAGGACTGGCCGCATCTCACAGAAAACCAGGAGGGAAGCCAGCTCAATGTCTTCGCTGTACCCGTTCTTCAGAGGAACAGATCTAAATCCTGCAGCAAGATGGAAAAACAATGCAAAGGCAGGCAATTAATGTCTGACCTTAGCTTTCTTGGGGGTACCCAGGAATCACATGGCCATATCAAGGAGCAGAGAGGTCAGTGCCCCGTGCTGGGAGGCTGACTTTCTGGAAGCCAGAGGTCCCATCCTGATGGTTATTAGTGGGGCACCAGAATGCAGCCCTGACTGACAGGTCCATACAGAGAAGAGAAGTTAAAAATACTCGTATCTGCCATCTAGAAATGAAAATGATTCACTCAGAAAAAAGTACAACCCACAGAACATTACACATTGAATTTAGAGTGGCTGCAGCTGTGGTTCAATTCCTTAAATATTCCAAAAGCCAAAAGACTCAAAGGAGTGATGAATCCTCGCATCCAATTTCCTCCTATTAGCCCTTTACAAAGTGTAGGACTGGGGAGTGTCTTTAAAGATTTCCAATGGGAGGAAACCTTCCTGTCCCTCTGCAGTTCAGAGCAGTATTGATCCTCCTCTTCTGAAAGCCATTCCCTATTTACAATTAGGACCCATGTGTGACAGTAATTTAAATGTTTATTTAGAGGAGGGCTGAGGTAGAGCTGAATTCCCCTGGCACTACCATCCATTAAGTAATGTTTAAGGAAACACATCTCAAAGATTGGTTGGTTCGCTTTTTTAATTTACTGTAAAAGAATCCAGAATAAAAATGAAAGTCTCCCACCCACTCATAATGCCTCATTCCAGAAGAAACCATTGTTAACAGTATCTTCCTGAGATAAGTCTATGCATGTGTTTGAGTTTCCTTTAAAATCACAAAGGAAAGTGCCCTGACCTAAAGCAATTCTGAACCTTATATTTAACATTGTGTTTTGGGGATTCACGATATGACCCTAGGTTGACTTGAGAGCTTTTTGTAAAAAAAAAAAAAAAATTATTTCAGTATAGTTGGTATACAATATTATATTCATTTGAGGTGTACAATATAGTGATTTGACATTTTTATACCTGTGAAGTCGCCCGGTCCTGGGCTTTTTGGGGGGAACTTTTTGATTACTGCTTCAATTTCATTGCTAGTAATTGGTCTGTTCAGATTCTCTGTTTCTTCCTGGTTTAGTCTTGAAAGGTTGTATGTTTCTAGAAATTTATCCATTTCTCCTAGACTGTCCAATTTGTTGCCATATATATTAATTGTTCATAGTTTCTTTAATGAGCCTTTGTATTTCTGTGGTGTTGGCTATAAACTCTTTAATTTCTGGTTTTATTTGTGTTCTCTCTCTTTTTTGTTGTCTTGCTAGAGGCTTGTCAATTTTATTCATCCTTTGAAAGAATTAGCTCTTAGTTTCGTTAATCTTTTCAATTGTTTTTCTGTTTTACTATATAATTTCTTTCCACTCTGATCTTTATTATTTCCTTCTTTCTACTCAACTTTGGGTTGCTTGTTCTTCTTTCTCGTTTTTTTTAAGATGCAAGTTTAGATTGTTAGGGATTTTCCCTGCTTCTTGAGGTAGGCCTGTATTATCTATAATGTTTCCTCTTATAACTGCTTTTGCTGCATCCCATAAATTTTGTAAGGTTGTGTTTTTACATTTGTCTCGAGGTAGTTTCTAATTTCCTATTTGATTTCCTCTTTGATCCATTGGTTGTGTAGAAGCATGTTGTTAATCTTCATGTATTCATGTTTTTTCCAGTTCAGGTCTTCCTGTAGTTGATTTCTAGTTTCATGCCAATTTGGTCAGAAAATATGCTTGACATAATTTAAGTCATCTTTCATTTATTGAGGCTTGTTTTGTGGCCTAGTATGTGATCTATCTTGGAAAATGTTCCATGTGCACTTGAGAAAAATATGCAACCTACAGTTTTTTGTATGAAATGCTCTATAAATGTCTATCAAGTCAAACTGTTCTAATTTGGCAGTTAAGGCCATTATTTCTTTATCAATTTTCTGTCCCAATGATCTAGCTATTGAGGTAAGTGGAGTATTAAAGTACCCAATTATTATAGTATTACTGTTAATTTCTGCCGATATGTCCATTAACATTTACTTTATATACTTGGGTACTTTTATGTTGGGTGTATAGATATTTACAATTGTTATGTTCTCTTGTAGTCTCTTCTTGGAATTTATTTAAATCTATTTAAAATTATGTAATGACCTTCTTTGTCTCTTTTTACATTCTTTGTTTTGAAGTCTGTTTTGTTGGATATGAGTATTGCTACCCTAGAGTCCTTTTCATTTGTATTTGCATGGAATATATTTTTCCATCCTCTCACTTTCACTTTGTGTGTGTATTTTGATTTAAAGTAATCTCTTATAAGCAGCATATAGATGGGTCATGTTTTGTTTTTGTTTTTTTAAAGATTTTTATTGGGGAATGGGGGAAGGGGAACAGACAAGTTGCTGTCCTTTTGTTCTTCAGTCTAGTTGTGGAGGACGTGGCTTCACTGGCCCAAGTTGGCACCATCATTGCGCTCTTCCTGGGCAAGGCAGATCAGTCGCCGGCTTCTGGACAGCCGCTCACGCTGGCTGCTGACTACACACGGTAGCCCATGGCAACCCACAGCAGCAGGGGCTGCAGCCTACGCCGTTGCTGGTGACTCACGGCAGCCCAGCTCCAAGTTGAGCTGTTGTTCAGCATTTTAGCTGTGGAGGGCAGTGTCACTGGCCCTCATATGTGGGATCCGAACCGGGGCCCTCTGGCGTCCCAAGCCAGCTCTTAACCACTGCGCCACTCGGCCGGCCCCTCATGTTTTTTTTAATCCATTCTTTCACCCTGTCTTTTGATTAGAGCATTTAGAACATTTACAGTAATTATTGGTAAGTATGTGCTTATTACCATTTTAATTGTTTTTTGGTTGTTTTGTTGTCCTTCACTGCTCCTTTCTTTTTTGATCTCTTTCCTATTGATTTGTTGGTTTTCATTAGTGTTTATTTAGATTGGATTCCTTTCTCTTCATTTTTTTTTGTGTGTATTTTTATAAGTTTTTGGTTTATGGTTACCATGAGGTTCATATACATCCTTCTATATCTATAGCAGCATATTTTAAACTGATAGGCATTTAAGTTCAGTTGTGTTCTGAAAGCACTGCATTTTCACTCCCCACCACTCTTTGCTATTGACATCATGTTTTATATCTTTTTGTTTTGTGTATCCCGATTATTCACTGTAGTTATAGTTAATTTTGCTACTATTGTCCTTTAACATTCACATTAGCATTTTAAGTGGTTGATTCACTGTGATTATTGTATATTTGCCTTTACCAGTGAAATTTTTTCTTTCCTCCACTTCTTATTTCTGGTTATGGCCTTTTCTGCATAAAGAAGACCCTTTAATATTTCTTGTCAGGCTGGCTTAGTGGTTGTGAACGCCTTTGGTTTTCACTTGTCTGGAAGCTCTTTCTCTCTCCTTCAATTCTGAATGACAACCTTGCTGGATTCTAGGTTGTAGATTCCTTTCTTCCAGCACTTTCAATATCTCCTCCACTCACTTCGGGCCTGTAAAGTTGCTTCTGAAAAATCAGCTGACAGCCTTATGGGTTTCCCTTGTCTATGACTGAATATGTCGTTCTTGATGCCTTTAAGGTTGTCTGTTTATCCTTAACTGATGCCATTTTAATTTACAATATGTCTTGGTGTGGGACTCTCTGCATTCATCTTGTTTGGAACTCTGTGCTTCCTGGACTTGGATGCCTGTTTCCTTCCCCAGATTTGGAAAGTTTTCAGACATTATTTCTTCAAATATTCTTTCTGTCCCTTTCTCATTTATTTTTTCTGGGATCCTTATAGTGTGAATGCTAGGATGTTTGATGTTATCTGAGAAGTCTCTTCTGTCCTCTTTGCTGTTGTAATTGGGTGATTTCCACTATTCTTTCTTCCATGTAGCTAATCCATTCTTCTGTATTAACCAATCTGATGTTGATTCCTTCTAGTGTGTTGTTCATTTCAGTTATATTCTTCTTCTCTGATTGGATCCTTATTACATTTTCTACCTCTCTATTGAAGTGCTGAGTTCCTCTATTCTACTCTCAAGTTTATTGAGCATCCTTATAAACATTTCTTTGAATTCTTTATCAGGCAAATTACTTATCTCTGTTTCATTAGGGTTTTTCTCTGGAGTTTTTTCTTGTTCATTCATATGGGGCATATTCTTCTGTCACCCCATTTTGCTTGACTTTCTGTGTTTGTGCCTAAAAGTTGGAGAAAATAGCTATCCCTCCCAGTCTTGAAACAGCAGTCTCTGTGTCGACTGTGTGTTGAATAGTTTGGGCAGGCCAGTTATACCCAGGGCATGCATGTGTGGTGCCTGGTGTGTCTCCTGTATGGGTTCCAGGTGGGGCAGCCTGGTGTAGACATGCTTCCCTGCTCCTCTAATCAGGGGGCTGCTAGTTGTGTTCGTGGTGTGCCCTGTTGCTTTCACTGTATGCGATCAGAGCAGGGCCTGAGCAAGGCTGCTTTGCTTGCTTGTTATCTCACCGCCCCACCAGCTCCAGGCCCTCTCTGGGTTGGGCAGACCTGCGTGCGTGCAGAGCTGCACTTTGCTACTTCTGCTCCCTCCCTTGTGAGCACACAGCCGCACTCCACACTGGGCAGCCCTGTGTGTGGGCACTGCCAAGTTTTGCTAGCTCTACACTTTCTTGAGGTGGGCCAGCCCCATGTGCATGTGCCCCTCTATCTCTGCACTTTCTCTGGAAAGGACAGTCCTGCATGCGGGTACCACAGAATTTTGCTGGCTCCACACACACTTTAGCAGGGGCAGCGCCACGTGAGCACACAGGAGCACCCCATGATCGCCACACTTTCTTTGGACAGTGTAGCCCTACTTGCAGGTACTGCAGCATTTCGTTAGCTCTGCAGGCAGGGGAGTCCCTTGTGGGTGCAGCCCAGTGGGTGTGCGAAGCAGCACCCTGCTGTACCTGCTGGATCACCCTCCTGGTAGAGGAGCTCCTTGTAGGCACACTGTGGTGCCCTCCTATTTCTGCTGGATCTAGCTCAAGGAGGGGTGGCTGAGGCCTGCAGGTCAGACAGAGAACCTGGATGGAGCTCTGGCCTGCTCTCCATGTTCCGGGGAAATGTAAACAATGGAGCTCACCAGTTCCTCGGGTCCTGGGTTGTTCCCTCCGTTCCTGGGGAGCTCTCAGGGTTCCCCGACCTTCTCTACATGGTCCTTCTCTCTTGCTTATTGTGCAAAAGCTGTTCAACTGACTCACAGTTGTCTCTCAGGAAGAACTGCTCTATATACAGATGTATATTTGATGCATTCATGGAAGGGGGTAAGCTCAACGTCGATCTATACTGCCATCTTGGACCTGCCTTGCTGGCTTGAACGCTTTTTAGGTGCATTGTATCTACTGATTCTTCAGGACAAGCAGTGCTCAAAATAGGACACTCCCACTATTTCCTTTGTGCCTTCCATCATTCAGGTTTTGGCTCGTTTGATGATGATTAACCTTTCATACAATCACTTGATCTATAACCTTTAAATAATATCTATCGAATCAATCACTTTCCACTGCTTACGAGGAGGAAATCAGCACGCTTACACAACCCTATGCCTTCTCTCCCTTTTCTTCCCCTAATTTGAATAAACCCTATGACTTCTACTCGACCTGGTGTGTAAGCTGTGCATTCCATTTTGTAACTATAATTCTCCCACAAAGGGGCACTTAGTTGTATTTCTCTGACATTTATATAGCAAAGCTAAAAGAATATTACAAGGAACACTTGTACACTCACTACCCAGTTCTCACCCTTAATCTCTATTGTACATGTTTTATCACCTGTCTCCACCCACCAAACTATTGTGCATGTGTGTGTGTATGTTTCAAAGTAAGATAAAGGTTCTGTACACTTATCCCGGAATATGTCAGCATGCATCTCATTAACTAGAGCTCAATATTTGCTTTCAGTGTTCGTCTTTTGATATAAAATTTACACACAGTGAAATGCACATTTTTAAAACCTATCCAATGCTCACCACCTTTTTCCTGAACTTTTCTCCCATTGATATTTTGGCTGCCTAAATTTGTCTTGTGTTTTCTTCAGTATGAGTTCATGGGACATATAATCCCTGAACTGTGCGTGTTTGAATGCATCTGTCCTTTAGTTTTATGCTTGAGTGATAGTGTGAGTGGGTATAAAATGCTCAGGTCACGCTCATTTACCTGGAGGATTTGGGGGACACTGCTCTCCCTAAATACTACTGTAGAGAAGTTTTCTGACCTTTTTACCCCTTACAGGTGATGGGAATTTTTTTTGTTGGTTTACCTTTTGGTTCTTGCCTTGGCTACCCACAGAATTCTTGCAGTCTGGCCTAGTGCTTCTCTAAGTTTAATGCAGATGCGCATCACCTGCAGATTTTACTAAAATGCAGATTCTGACTCATGAGCTCTGGGATGGGGCCTGAGACTCTGCATCTCTAATGAGCTGGTCTGTGGACAGCAGGGAGTAAGTCAGTCTAGGCGTCGCTCGACTATTAGAACGTAATGGAATGCTGAGCACTCATGGTTTCCTGGGAGGCTCAGGCAGCCCGTGCCCTCCAATAACATGGTTCCAAGCAAAGTGGCCTCCGAATTTGGAGAAATTAGCTCTGTGCCCTCTGCCGGATGTCCCCAGTCTCCTCTCACTACCCACGTCTCATGGTTATGAGCAGCCCTTCATGGTGGGGTCAGGACTGAAAGGTGTTTGCTTATTTCCCCCAAAATAGAGCTGGATTCTGTTTTTATTCCTGTTGATTTTAGTCGTGTCACAGAGAAAAGGGAAACAGAGACATCTTTTGAAGTAAGATCAGTATTTTGGCTTAGGAGAAAGACCCTCGAGGGTGGCCTAGAGAGTAGGAAGAACATGGGGTTTGAAAGAGACATTCCTGGGTTTCGATCCAGCTCTGGTCTTACAGGTGTGTGACCTTGAGCAAGTTAATTAACATGTCTAGGCCCCAAAGTGCTCCTATTTAAAAATCAGAGATGCTAAAACCTCTTTCACAGGATTGCCATGAGGATTAAAAGAGAAAGAGTTAAGGCACCTAACACAATAAATGATGTTTTTCTTCCTTCCCAAGCTCCTGCTGGCTTAAAAGCTTAAGTGCATCCCTTATGACAATGGGCAAAGTTTACTTTTGAGTTTGGAAGGCTCCCACTGCCTTATGCACAAAGGGATTGTTCATTTTATTTCACTGCCTCCATGAATATGGATATGCCAGGCAGTGTTAAAAGCTGGAACAGAGAGAGAAGGTCCTTACTGAGTGTCTCACGGTTTTCATCATCCTTGAGATTTTGTCCTTTGTGAAATCTCCAAACTAAGTCATAGCGTTTTCTAGATGAATCGACACTATTTGGTGGCCAGTAAAGGGGGTTCATGAACTCAGACCTCTCTCCACAGCATAAGGGGCTCAGGTCCCTTATCCTTTAAGAGGACATGGGTGAGGAGGGGCAGCCGGAACGCCGCCCATCTGTGTAAGGTAAGAACAGTGGACATGGGTGGGGAGGGGGGGCTCAGTTACCATAAAAAGGAATCTGTCCTAAGCCTTATTTATTTGGCTAATTTAAAAGAGGCAAATTACAAAATAAAAAACTGCAGCTAAATTGCTGGGTTTAACATAGTTTAGTGCGGGTAAGTGAACCAAGAGGGGTTGCCAAACATCGAGGCCTTACAAATGAGTACTACTCGCTGTTATTATTAAATGAGGAAGCTGGAAATATATAAAATGCTGGGGAGAAAAAACCCCAAATCAGACTTTTTAAATATTTCTCAGGTTCTTATTTAATCTACTCATTTGATTAGCAATTTGTTTCCTTGATGATACAATGGGCAGCTTCAGTCTAGCTCAGTATTCTCAAAGTGCCATCCCAGGGTCATCTGAGGAGCTGGCTAAATATGCAGATTCCTAAACCCCACCCCAGACAGGCTGAATCCACACCTCAGGAGGGGCTCAGCAACCTGTATTTTCCAGAGTTCCCAGGATGCCTAATTGGGCAAGTGCCTAGTAGTGGAAATGATCACATTTGTGATACTAATAAGAAAGGGAATTAACTGATATGTTCCAAGTTTAGGGGGGAAAAAAACAATCCAGGAAACAGGACCCAAGGTTTACAAACATCAAGAGAAAAAATTATATTTGTATAGAAATCACAAAATATAGTTATATACAAAACTATTTTTATATAAATGAGAGTGAACTTTTTGTGAAAAATAATACTTAGGAAACAGAAACAATGCCCTCATGAGGAATCTAGAAAGATCTATGATCTTATATCTCAAATAAGGGAGGAGAAAAAAGAAAATTTGACATCGAGTGAGGGCCTGGTTGTCAAACGTTCTACATAAAAGCCAGCAAGAAAGTAAATTAGAGAAACTATATACAAGATAAGCATAGTCACATTTACACAGTAGCAACTTGGATAGGTGGGACTCCATCTCCTGGTAATTAAGAGCTGGTCACAGGACCCGGCTTGGTCCCAGGCAAACACAAAATGACCTTCTCAAAGCATTAAGGGGTTTTGTGTTTTGTTAGGCATGGAAGAAGTAAATCAACCATCTCAGTTTTACAGAAGGAAGGTGAAGAGCTGAAAGCTTCAGTAACTTGCCCAAGATGATCCAGCACAGGGAGGTGGACCTACGATTATAACTCACGCCAGTTGCTAAGGGCCTTTTAATTCCCAGCCAGGAAGAGGGTGGGAGAGCCAACCAGATGTACGGAAACCCCGAGCCCTGGCTGAGGATAGGAAAACAGCTTCTAACCTTTCCAAATGAAATCAAACCACAGTGCCAGGTGGAAAATCAACTAATAATCCAATTTTGCATGCAGACACCTGACTCTGAAGGGGCCAGCATCCTATCTCATCACCTTCCCCTGTGCTAAATGATGGACTGCACATGTGCCGTCCAACAACAAGATCAGCTGTTCAAGCCCCCTAACCAGTTTTGCAGGGATTTCATAAAAACCAAGAAAATGCTTTTTCATTCTTTTTAAAGCCAGCAGCACAGACCAAAGAACAATGCTAGCCCAAATTGAACGTTTTCAGGAAAATGCCTCTTACCTGATTTGATGCCTTTAATGGGGTAAGTAGCATGAGCCAGAAAGTTGGGATCGCTGAACATATCTTCCTCATACACCACAAAGCGCAGAAATGCGAGGTTTGGGTCATAAATTTCAAATGTCACCTTCTCCTGTGTTGGAGCCCAAACTGGGCTTAGGCCATTGTCGTCTGGAAGGTGATCAAAGCTTATTAGAGGCCCCATTTGTCCTGCCCACCCCACTCCTGGAAAAACCATCTCTATATTCATCAGCTTTAAATCTCCTTAGCAACTATGTAAATATGCATCTATGCCAAGAGCTAAGAAAATCTGAATAATCTTTTTTCCAGTAGCAATCCTGGCAAAGCTATTGTTAATAGGCTTGGCCCTCCCTTTATACAGTTCCCATCTCAACTCCCTGGGAAGTGACAGGACGCAAATGGCCCAGCAGGAACAGGTGGGTCTAGAAGAGGTGAGATGGGAGGGGAGTGGGTTCTGTAGTTGTCAAGGGGAAATCAGCCTCCTAGAGCAAGGCAAGCAGTCACCCTGCCACCCTCCACAAATGCCAGCTTCACTAGACAACTTGTCCGTTGTTCACTGTGCTACCTTTCCCCAGGGGCAGTGGTCCCAGGCCTCACCAGGCCCCAAGTTCCTTCCTGGCTTCAAATAGAAGAACAAGCATTTCTCTGGGCCTCCCTGCCCTCTGTGGGAAAAGATCACCCAGGTTAGGCTGCAGCCTTTCCATCAGGTAGCCACAGCCTCTCTGTGTCTCTGCTTTATCAGTAGATAAAGGAGGTGGGGGCTGTAGGCTAGTGTC